ATCTGGAAGGCAGGGTTGAGAATTATAAGATAACCTCGATTGTGCCCTTTAAAAATATCCCAAATAAAGGAGCTAAAGTTGATTCTTCTTTCTGTTGGAGTGTTCTACCTATGCCCCTATTGCCTGACAGCAGTAATCTCATCCCTTCTTTGCTTTCTGCACATAAGTTTCCAAATGTTTCCTCCTTGTGTCCAGAGTCCTCCTGTGTGTCGAATCCTATGTTTGGCTACTCTCGGATGGAGGGTAAAAAAGGAGCAGATATGGCCCCTTGGGTAGCTTACAATCTGACCAGGGAGACAAGGCCCACACACTCACAGCCAATGAAAGGCTATTACTAGGAAGAAAATGGAAATGTGAACACAACAGACCAAAACAAACCAAGTGCTACAGAATTAAAACCTCTTTATTTGGAATTGAGCATAGGAGACCATATACCCTGGAAGCAATTCGGGGACCGTGCAAAGCAGAGACTAAAAATGACAGTCGCTGCCCTCAGGGTGCTTACAGGGGACAAGATATATACATAAATAACTTCAATACAAGTTATGTATAATTGAATAGGAGTCCTTACCAGATAAGTGGCCAGAGAATATGAACAGGCAGATATCTTTTATACTCTTTTATTTTAATACTTTTTTTTTCAACATTCACTTCCTTAAGATTTTGAGTTCTAAATTTTCTCCTCTTCACTCTTCTCCCCCCTCCCTAAGACAGCATGCAATCTGATATAGGCTCTACTTATACATTCATGTTAAACATATTTTCACTTTAGTCATGATGTAAAGAACAATTAGAACTAATGGGAGGAACCACGAGAAAGAAGAAACAAAACAAAACAACAAAAGAAAAGGAGAGTAAATAGTAAGCTTCCATCTGCCTTCAGACTCGGATGTCGATAGCATTTTCCATAGTAAGTCTTTTGGAATTGTCTTAGATCCTTGCATTGCTGAAGAGCTAAGTCTATCAAAATTATTCATCACACAACGTGGCTGTTACTGTGTACAATGGTCTCCTGGTTCTGCTGATTTCACTCAACATCAGACCATACAAGTCTTTCCAGGTTTTGCTGAAGTCTACCTGCTTATCCTTTCTTATAGCACAATAGTGTTCCATTACATTCATATACCACAACTTGTTCAGCCATCCCCCATTTGATGGGCATCTCCTCAATTTCCAATTTTTGCCACCACAAAAAGAGCTGCTATAAATATTTTTGTATCTGTGGGTCCTTTTCCCATTTGTATGATCTCTTTGGGATACAGACCTAGAAGTGGTATTACTAGGTCAAAAGATATGCACAGTTCTATAGCCCTTTGGGCATAGTTCCAAATTGCTCTCCAGAGTGGTTGGATAAGTTTACAACTCCACCCACAATGCATTAGTGTTCCAATTTTCCAACATCTTCTCCAGCATTTATCATTTTCCTGTTTTGTCATGTTAGCCAATCTGATAGGTGTGATGTGTTATGAACAGGCAGTTTCTAAAGGAAGAAATGTAAAATATTAATAACCATACGAAAAAATTTCTCCAAATCATTAATAAGAGAAATGCAAATTAAAGCAACTCTGAGATTCCACCTCACATTCATCATAGTGGCAAGGATGACCAAAAGATGAAAACAGCAAATGTTGGAAGGGCAGTGGGAAGCCAGGGCACATTAATTTGCTGTTGGTGAAGCTGTGAACTGGTCCAGCCATTCTGAAACACTTTCACAACCAATCACATTATTGCTATCTCTTATTCTGGTTGGAGACAGGCTCCTACTAAAATCCATAGTTCTTCTAGCTGAGTTCCCTGGCTTCTCCCAAGGTTCTTTCTCTTGCCCAAGCAGAAGGACAAAAGAACAATGAATAGGCAAATGGGACCAAGGCAGGGATGTGCTGGAACTTGCTTATACCTGCTGTTATGAGAGCTGATTGTTAAATCTTCAGTGTGAGCATTTACACCTCAAAAATCCACAACTATTACACACACATCAGGGCTTGATCTATCATTTTGTTGGTTGTCTAGACTTGAGAAAGTGATAGATAAAATGTTAATAATGCAGATTATATTTAAAAGTGTATTATATGGACTTTTTTTCTCTTGGAATGCTAGTTATTAAAACAATATACCAGCACATCTTGGACCAGGGAGATATCCTGGGTTACAGAGGACAGTAAGACCCTCAGCCTTGAAAGGAATAAACAGGCATCCTTGGGCTCAAGCTCTAGGATTGGCCTCCAAGCAATTGACTTCCTAGGAGGAGAATTTTTGGAAGGCAACTCTCTCTGGATCCCTGGACCTAAAAGTATGAGTATTTTGAGTCGTAGAGAATTGTGCCCAAGATTTAGGGCATGCCTTTTAAGTTAGGGTCCCCTCAGTCACCTCCAGCTTGTCTGAGCACAGAACACAAAAGTTGTAATTTCTTTATCCCTTTGCCAATGTGCACTTCACTGGGCAGCTTTGTAATGTATTTGCATTGCTGCTCCATTTCTGAGATTTCTAGAAGGCCTTTCTTAGGCATTCACCATCCCTCCTAATCAAAGAATTAAAATAAAGAACCCAGGATGCCCCTTCCTGAGGTCACAGAATCACAGTCTTTCCTCTTGCCTCAACACAGTCCCCAGAGATGCGTCTCTGCTCTCCAGAGGTGAAGTTATTTCTTATCTGTGACCCCCATTTCCCTTGCTGAAGTATGAGCTCATTTCCTCTTGTTCTGTCCTCACTGGAGCTTGTGAATAGCTAGGCACCCCCCTCCCCAGGATGGGCTTTTTCTTTAAGTCCTTAAAGCCTATTAAATTATCTCCTTTCCAGCCTATATAACTTTCAGAACCCTAACCTTGTCTGTGAAGTTCTGTTTAAATCCATTGGTAGACTGGGATATTTTCCTCTATACTTGTCAACTCATTTCTGCACACCCGCCCCACCCCAGCCCCGAGCTCCTTCACATCATCCTTCTCCCTGCCCATGATACAAGGTTGTCTCAGGCACAGAATTCTAATAAGAGATTAAATCTATTATCACAAAACATCAGATTGAAAATGAAACAATTCAACCTATTTTGCCTACTTCAACATAGCTAATTTGTCTAATAGTTTTCAGTGAATTTCCTGGATGGCTTAGTGTGTCATGTAAAAAAGTGGCTGCAGATACAGCTTAAGTGATAAGGTAAAAACTAGTTTAACCAGTACTTTTCTGTCACCCAGAACTCTAGGGCCAGCACTTTCTCACATTTATAGTATAATGACAACTGATGTTCCCCAAAAAAAAATGATCCTGAGGCCCTGAAACTTATGAGGTGCCTTCTAGATCAGAAAAGAAAGGTGTGAGTACACTTAGCATAGGTATAGTCTTAAGGTATTATATCGTATTCTCTTTCTTTGAAAATCTGTGATCCGTGCATGGCATATAGAATAGCTCTCTATTAAATACGGAAGGGCTTCTCTGATACACAAGATATATTTGTTTCCCCATCCATCCCAGACCTTTTCATTGCTGGAGCGCAGCTGTGCCTGGTCTGGTTCCCAGCTGGACAGTAGAGAGATGTTATGGATCAACCACCACAGTCAACCTCTCAATTTCTAAGCCAGGATGCTGATCAGAGCAGAAACCTGGGTGGACTTGAGACAATTCGAGGACTGGGAAGGCTTCCTAGGATTACTCTGGGGTTTCAGGGAGTAGTATAGGGCTCCCACATCCACTCCAAATGTACTCTTTGGCTTCTGACCTGTTCCTGTGGCCTCTGAGGCTAGCAGCATTTCAAGGTCAGCATGGGCCAAATCTTCCAACCCTCCAGGCTGCCCCACTAGTTCCCACGCCACCCTCCAAATCAGGCCTGGGTTTGGACAAGTAGACGAGGGGAACTGTGCTCAGAAACCTGACTGGACCTGTACGTTCTCTTTGTTGGCTCCGTCGGAGGAGGGCAGCAGCTCACATGGATAAAAGAGAATATGACTCTCAGGGTGTTTTTGAACTTCTAGAAATAACATCGGAGACTCAGACAGAAATGAATCTGAATCCCACTGACACGGCCATTTCAGAGGAAGTTCACTCTGCTCATTATTGATATAACCATCACCCTGTCCTTCCTCTCCTGACTCTGGCTCTGTGGGGAATGATTGGTTTTAGGAAATGACACTGATGTTACCTGACCCCCATGTTGAATATATCAAGAGCTAAATCCATCAAGACAGCAAGGTTGGAAGGGAAACAAGGGAAAGTTGAGCATCTAGAGTCTTCTAGACCATTGCCTTCGTTGTCTGCTGTCTCCTTTCCAGCTTAAAGTCAAGAAGACCTGGGTTCAAGCCCAGCCTTTGATACACACTGGCTGTGTGACCCTGGACAAGTCATTTAATCTCTTGGCATCCCAGGAAATTCTTTGAAACTCTAAGTCACCGAACAATAGCAGATTTGCTTCAGTAGAGAATATTGTCTCCTAGAGTTTCCTACATTGATGAAATAACAAGTTCAGGGTGAAGGCACACAGAGTCACAAGAATTCTCAGGTCCCATTTTTGTATTTCCTGTCATAACTCATAGCCCTCAAACTCCATCAGTTCCCTGAGAATTATTCAGCTGCCCTGGGCATATCCAGGAGATAATCCATTTGAGACTCTTCATCTTCTCATAGTGACTAGTGCTGCCCGTCAAAGATGAGGCTCCTCCACTTGAGTCCTACACCCCTGTTCCTTCAATGTCCATTGTCACTGCTCCCAAACTGAGCTAAAGCTTTCTTCACTTAGCAGTTACGTGCATGAGTTGTCCCAGTGAGGCGTACCTGAGAAAGTTACTGATTAGGCCTAACCTTGCTCCTGATCACCGTTTCCCTTAGGGACTCCCTCAGGGTTTCTAGTCTTTGCCAGAATTTGGAATAGTACGGTTTGGTTTGTCAGCTGAGAAAGGATTTTGCCCCCTTCTGAATTTTTGCAAATCCATTTCCTCCACACTATTAACTTTCCCCAAGAAACTGTCTTCATTTGTTGTTTTAGCTAGGAAACAGAGCAGGCACCCCCAGCTTTGATGCCTGAGTCCTGAAGAGCAGAGGAGAGACAGGCTCACCCACCTCTCTTGTCCCTATGTCTCTGAAACATAGGTGGAGCCACCTGGCATATTCTCTTCTGTTTGCCTAAGCCTGTAGCAGTGTCCCTTTGAGTACCCCCAAAGTTCTTCCAGCCCTCCTGCCTGCCACAGTGTTTCCGTAAGCGTTACGGTGCCTTTGCATTGTCCCACTGGGGATTGAATGTTCTGGGTCAGTAATCATCCTTTCTGGGAGAAGGCAGAGAGCAGCCTAGGCTCCCACGGGCCATGCTGGCATGGATAGAAACGTTGCTTCCACACACCACCATCCCAACCTACAATTCAGGTGGCAGTCCTCTCCAAGCTAACATCATGAATCACATTTTATCTGTTTACTTCAACTCTTTAAAGGGCTGTCACCTGGAAGAAGGATTAGGCTTGTTCCGTTTTGCCCCAGAGGGCAGAGTTAAAAACAGTGGGTAAAAGCGGTGAAGAGGCAAATTTAGGCTTGAGGTGAGGAAAAACTAGGTAGTAATTAGAGATGTTCAGAAGTGTAAGGGGTCATGTTGGGAAGTGGTGGGCTCCTCCCTGATCCCATGATCTCCTTCCTTTATTATTGGAGGTCTGTAAGCAAAGAATGTGTGACCACTTGTAAGGTGTGTTATAGAAAGAATTGTTTTCCAGGAGTGGGTTGGGCTAGATCACCACCAAGGCCCCTCCTCACTATGAAATTCTGTGATGCTGTAACTCCTGTGAAATATGAAGCGTCATTGGCTACAGGCCATAGGTATTAAACCACCAATTGTTTGCTCATTTTAAAAGTTTTGTGAGTGAGTCCCTATAAATCCTGTTCAAATTGTCCCATAAACCCTGAAGATATAGCTGTGGAGTCACTGTCGTGACCTTACAAATCATATTGCTCTGCAAACATCCACTTTTTTTTTCCAGAAACAGGATCCCACTTATGGCAGCTGATTTATTTTGTCCTAGTAATCAGTTCATAGATTCTAGCATCATAAATTTAGAACTGGAAGGGACCACAGAAACTGTCTAATCCAACCTGTTCAGGATTAAGAGTCAATCTGTGGTTTGGGTTAGGACTCATTCTGTGGTCAAAGGTCAGTCTGTGGTCAGGATCAGAGATCAGTCTGTGGCCAGGGCGAAGGTTCAGACTGTGGCCAGGGTTAAATGTTGGCTTATGGCTGTGGAAGAGTGCTTCCATGCAGGTATAGTTCTTATGACTTTGGCCTTACCAGCCTCATGTTCTAATCACAATAGTACCTTATCTGTACAACTACAGTGATAACCAGAGAAGTTCTGGGCACAAAACAGTGGACTAAATACAAGCCACAGTGCTTGTCTGCCTTCACGGCCATGTCTGTTCATGGCCCTTATATCCAATCCTGGTTCAGTGAATGCTCATTGGCAGTTCCTGGAGTCCAGCCCCCCTGACCCACTGAGGCCAGATACCCATGATGACCTGTGGTCACCTCAGGAGAGAGCTACAGTCTCTGTGGCCCTTTGCTTTTCTGCCTATTAAATAGACTCTCTCTCTCTCACTTCCCACCATGGAGTCACTATTAAATCCAACTCTGCAGTTCCTGAGTAAAGGCCAAGCTTTAAGCTCTATTAATGCTCCCTGATGGTGGGAAAGGTGGGGAGGAGCATCTCTCCTCCACGAGAATGATGCCAATCCATACCGATCTTCTCTGACCACCAGATACGTTCAGAGCAAGAGCTATATAACATCCCATGTAATTATTGATGTATGGCATCATTCTCTGTTTCGTGTCTGTAAACTTTGTCTTTCCACGTAGACTGAGGGTCTTCTCCCTTGCTGTTTGCCCCACAACATAGCTGAGCACAGGGCTGGATAAAAGGGATTCTATGCAGATTCATGGTCTTCCCCCTCTCCCCATCCATCTGACCCTCATCAGACTCCAGATCAGAAAATAGCCAATTATTTCTACAGAAAGCTGAGTCCCACCCTGACTATAAGTATGTATTGACTTAACCCAGGGGTGGGGAACCTGCGGCCTTGAGGCCACACATGGCCTCAGTTTGGGTTCAGTCAGAGGGCCACACTCGAGGGCCACATGTGGCCTCAAGGCCTCAGGTTTCCCACCCCTTGACTTAACCTCTGAGGTTGCAGACAGTTTGGTCTGCTGTGACGAGGTCTATCTGTAAAGTGATTCTAGTGTAGACACTAAGTCAGGGAATGCAGTCTGTGGTGGTTGTACATACTGGGATGGCTTGAGGGGGCCAGAGATGGGTTCACCTTTTAAAAGTTACCTGCATATTGGTTTTGGCTTGGCTGTCAGTCACGCTTTGCTCTGTCTGTCTTGGTAGAGACAACCGTGGCTGCTGTTCCTCCAGGGCAGCAAAGCCTCCTTCCTCCAAACAGGTCCTGTCAGCTTTGAGATCCTAAAATTAAAGAGACAAGCCTCATTCTGGGGGTCCCTTGGATAATGAGATATTTTACAGAAGAATATTTCTAAGACTTCAGAGCCCCTGGGTTTCTCCAGCATTGGGGTTTGACATAAAAGGCATTTCACTAGCAGCACTTGTTCGTCATTACTGGGAGTTTGTCTACCTGTGTCTATTCTAGTCCAGACATATTGGGCCCCTCACCTACTGTCTCAGAGCTACTTAGGAACATGCTGCAGATTGTCTTGTCCAACCAGGGCAGACCTACTGACCACATGTGATATAATAGAAAAAAGACTGAGGAGTCAAGATTTGCCATGATTTGGGACAAGTCGTTTTACCTTTGGGGGCTTCATTCTTCTCATCTATAAAATTCAGGGGTTGTAGATGATCTCTATCTAGGTCCTTTACAGTTTTAACACTCTGTATTTCACAAGCTATTAATTACCCATAGAATTAGTGTTCCACTCTCCTGTATGCACCCTCTGCCCCACCAAGCTGTTCTCCTAGCTATCCTCACCACCTGCCATGCTCATTACCACTTCTTCCAAATTTTTAAAGGTTTTGCTCCTTTCTGAAATTCCCTATCCTCTCCTGTCTTTCTAGATTCTACTAAAACTTTAAGGTCCAGCCCAGCTTCCTGAGCTTTCTCTGGCTTTCTTCCCCCACCCCCCCCACCCCCTTGCCTAGTTCACACTGACCTTTCCTTCTCTCATCTCTGAACCAACCACACTGGTTCTCCCTTAATCGTACACTGGACTCTGCTGTTCCCTTATTTTCCCCTGTGTGTGCCATCTCCCCAGCTAAAACTGTGAGTTCCCCAAGGGCAAGGACCAGAATGGTCACTCTCCTTAAGTACTTCCTTCCTGACCAGTTCCAGAGTCCTTGAACTGGAAGAGACCTGTCAGGATCCGAACAGGAGAAAGTCTTACTACACTTGGATCTTAGCAGAGTTTCTACTTAGGCTGGGCCCTATGTAGTCTGTTGAAAACTGTTTGCTAAGGAGCCATTTTTCCAAGTCCTTTCTGTCCTTCAATGCCCCCCTTTCCCTCTTCAGTAGGCAAAGACTTGTTCCCATCAGGCCTGATAGGGATGGGTGTTTGCAAGATGCTCCAGCTCTCCACGCTGGATGTGCATGCTCAGCCTTCTTACAGATCGCTGCAGCCCTGATTGAGAGAGTGCTGGCAGGCAAGGATTCTGAGAATCAGTCACAATAATGCTGCAGACCCCTTTCTGGTTTTCAACAGCCAAGCTTGAGTCTTTGCTTTTGAATAAGTCTGACTGGAAAGCCCACAAAGTGTTAAGCCTTTGAAAAGGGTTCCTGGAAGCTGGGCATCTTGCCACCCTCAGTGTTGGACACTGGGCCTTCTCTAATTACCATGGCATCACCTGCTAGAGAAAAGGGGGCTCTGAGCAAACTGCTCCTGTTCACTGTAAACCCCAGCAGTGTCCTGGTTTCAGCTGACCAAAGCAAGGAAGAGCCATTGAAATCTGGCACTCACTCTCTTGAGCTCCCCCTGGGAGTCTGGTCAGTGCTTGGTTTCTTGACTTGGGAGCATCAGGCTGTTCTGTCCAATCCTCAGCCCTTCCAGGAGAGTGGGAGAGTAGTACGTAAACAGCATCGCCCTTCCCTTCTGATAAAACTGATAGAGCCTAAAATGAGCTCTCAGGCCACACCAGTTTCTCCTTTTGCACCCAAAACACAAGCTCATTCCACTGAGCTCCAACACTTTAACCTCCAAAGGTGCTCTAAAATGCTGCCATTTGTCCCTTTCTTGACTGCATTTATCAAGTACTGTGGGAAGTGTGGAAGGCAGCATTCGTAGTGGGATAAGAAACCTGGAATTAGAGTCAGAAGCCTGGAGTTTGAGCCTCTTCTCTGACCCAGTACCCTTCATGCCTCGGTTTCCTCTTCCATAAAACAGTGTTAATAATATTCAGACTTGCTACCCTACAGAGTTGTCAGGAGGAAATTACTCTGCACCCTATAAATCTGAGCTACTACTGTTATTATTATACTGCTTTGTGTTATAGTTATATGTGTATATGTCTTATCTCCCTTACCAGACTGCAAGTTCCTGATTGTCAGGGCAGGGACTCCATCTCATTTACCGTCATTCATCTTTGTAAAAAAGGCAGCAAGTCCCTCATTCATCTTTTTAAGAGAGGCAGTGAATATGTTGTAATGGGAAGAACATTATGGAATCAAAAGGGAGTTAACTGGCATTAATACTTAGCTGAGTGACTATAGATAAGTCATTCTGAACCTCAGTTTTCTTATCTGTGAAATGGGGATAACAGTTCTTTAGCTATCTACCTCACAAGGCTGCGGTAAGGATTTTACATGGTATGTAAAATGTGAGTGATTATCATGATTATCCTTCACTAGGTCTTCTATGATGGGCTCCTAATAAATGTAGATAGAATTAGGCCTTAGTAACCCTGTGGACTATGGGAACAGAGAGAAGGCAAGCTGGACTGGGCTGCTACTGACTGTTGGACATTTTGATTCCCACCAAATTCTTAACAACTACCCTTAGGGAAGGTAAGAACAGAAGCAGTGCTAAGGGTTAATATGAGGAGGTGCTAATGGAGGTTGGCCCCTGGTTTCCTGTTTGTACCAAGATGCAACCTCTCCCTCCCCTTTCCTCAATTAGCCTCCATCTGGCCCTCTCCATCCCACCCTGCTCACCACGAGTTTCTCTGTTTGTAGGAATCTGCTCAATCCGTAAGGTGTGTGATTCCTGAGCTGGGATGGTGGTGGGGGAAGGGAGACGGCTCACAATTAGGGCCCTTCCATTTCTGGGCATTGTTGTTTTGCTCCAAGAGCCTGATCCCCTCCCCTTCCCTTGGGGGTAATCTGGGACCATATGTGCCATAGCGGGAACAACCAGCCTAGCTGCCTCTCCGCTGCACCAGGCCTTCTCCCTTCCTTCCTTCAGCCCAAGCTCTAGACTCTGTATCAGAACCTGGGGAAGGAAGGCTCATTTCTTGGGCCAAATCCAGGAGGCACTTCAAACAGCCTCGCCGCCTGGTGTTCTCAGTTTTGTTTTTTCGGTTGATCTCTCTGAAACCTCTTCCATTCCATTCTCAGACTGTGGTGGCCTCTGCAGGGAGCCTCCTTCTCTTGGGTGGGCTATCTTGGGGCAATTACTCCCTTCCAGGAGGCATCCTTGTGCCCTGCACCTCTTTTAGAGGCTTTTACTAAACACTTTGCAGTGGCTAAAACCCAAGCACTGACATTCTCATTCTGGGAGGCCGTTCATTCAATACGGTTAAATTGAGCAAACATTTAAAAAGAGCCTCCTATATTCACAGTTCTGTACTAAGGAGAAAAAAAGTTGAAACATGACACCATCCTTCCAATCTGCTGGGGCGATGTGGACGTATATACAAATGAATATTGGCAGAATGAGTCGAAAGTGGTTTTATTATCCCATTTTAGGTAGGATTTAACAGTCTTTGAATTCTGCTCTAAGTCGTTGTTTTACCTAGATTCCTAGAATCAGAATAGCAACGACTCCTTGTAAGTAGGAAGGTTCGTCAGAGGATGTTCAACCCAACCCCTTCTCAAATGATTAATCCTGCCTGCGACGTTCCCCATAAAGCCATCCAGTTCCTTGTCACCCCTACCCTAGTCCCTCTGTCCCCACTCCGTGTCTTTATGTGAACCTCCAACCCTAGGAAGATATTATAGATCAGTACCCATTGTACAGTGCATTGTGCCCAACCCCAGGGTAGTTCTGAAGGCCCAGAGGGCCTAGAGCTGCCTTCTTTCTAGATCAGAAGCTGACAACTGCTGGCATCCCCATCACCAGGTGAGACTTGGAGTAAGTTTGACAAGCACGTACATAACATATGCATCCATGGACAACTGTACATCCAAGCTTTTGCCTGGTCAAAGTGTTTCAGCAATCTAGCTGTTTTAATAGTCCTCAGGACCAGAAGTAGCAGTTACCAAAACAGGAGATACAAAGCCACTATTTGCCTTCTGCATCCTGTCTCCTTAAATGGCAACTTGCTTGTTGCCTTCTCTCTTAAGTTGTAGACAGCATTGTCTCTTTTAGATTGTAACTCCTTTATCCTATTGTTGGTGGTTGTTCTTTGTTCTCAAAGATGACCAATGGGTAAAAATGCCTGGAGTCAGGAGATGGAATGTAGGATGTACACCACAGCTAGGAGGTCAGTGTCCCTGCATCACAGAGGAAGTAGAGGGAGATAAGGTATAAAGAGATTAGAGAGGGAGAAAGGAGCCAGGCATAAAGAGCTTTAAAAGCCAAGTCTAGGATTTTGTATTTGATCCTAGAGGTATTAGAGAGCCATTGGAATTTATTAAATAGGACTAGAGAGGGTCACATGGTCACAACTATGCTGACAAATCAGTTTGACCACTAAGTGGAGATTGGATTGGAGTGAAGAGATACTTGAGGCTGGGAGAACAATAAGAGGTAGGGATGGGAATAAGCATTTATATAGTACCTACTAAGTTCCAGGCCTGTGAAATGAGTGCTATTATTGTCCCCATTTTGCAATTCAGAAAACTGAGATAAACAGAGGTTAAGTGACTTGCCCAGGGTCACACAGCTAGTAAGTGTTTTGAGGAAGATTTGAACTCAGGTCTTTTTCACTCCAGGCCCAGCACTTTCTCCACTGCACCACCAGCTTCTTTGTATTTCCTGGCTTATTGGTCCTTCACTTCTAAATCACAGGAAACCTTAACTTCAGTGAGAACTGATCTTGCTACTTATGTAGACAGCACCTATGTGAAGAGTATTCTTCCTTACCAGGCTATGCCCAAATGAATAGGCTATGTCTATAGTAGCAGGAGGTGTTCTCAGGGTCTGTGATCTGACAAATCCTATTTTCTCATAAATAGAAGGGAACCAACTACTCAGACCCTTGGGATCATCTTTAAAATTCCAGCCTATTAAAGACCTGAACACGGTGCCTTTCCTAGTCCTGCTGAGCAGTGCTCAGGAGGATGCTTGTGCTGAGGG